CGGCTGCGCTGCGCTTCCCGCAGGGTCGCCTGAGGGGAGCGGTGAGGCCTGGTTCTGGCTTCCTCCCGCGGGCCGGGGCTCTCCGTCACCCGCTTCCAGCTTCCTCCCGCTGTCTGCTCCTGCCCCTTCTCGTTCTTCGCTGCTCTCTGGGCTTCCCCCTGCGCCTCAGCCTGCCTAGGCCCCTCTGTGTTCTGCTTTCCCCGTAATTCTCCCTTCTCCCCGCAACCCGTAACCCCCATCCCCGCTTTTTTGGGCCTCCTTTTCTTGGTCGTACGAAAACGTGTGAAGGGGCATCAGAATTGTTGCGTGTTGAAGGTGGAAATGCTTCACATCCTGTTGGAAGTGAGGCGGAAAGCTGCGTGTGATAAGAGAGAGCTGAACATGAGCTGGGGGGAGGTTTCTGAAGGGGATCTGGGGTTGCTTTTGCTTTTAATCTGTGCCGGGCAGTAGTCTTCCTGCCCTGGTCACTGGTCTCTCGACTCTAAAAGGCTGTGTGGATGTCTTCTTGTCCTTCCAGCTATATCATCTATGCACTAATCAAACAATCAGTAGAGGCGGAAGAAGATACTGATGCTGATAACTCTGTTTTGGTCTCATAGACTTATGGTTGTGCTTTGAATGAGTATTGTGCGATTGTACCCAAGAAAAACTACTTGCTCAGGGTTGTGATGGGAAGTGGTGCAGGTTGTGGTGAAGATCTGCAGCTCGAGTGCTGCTGTCTGTTGTGTCTTCAGTGAAAAGTTGTGCAGCTGGGATGTGACAGAGGGTTTGTGCATATGGGGTGGTGCTTTTTAAAGGGCTTTTGTACAGCTTCTGAAGTCTTTGTAAGTCTTCAGAATGAGGTGGTTAATTTTGTTCTTGTTGTCAACAGCACACAGTATTTTGCTAATGTAAATCTTGGAAGTTCAAGTGTGTGTGACCAGGAGCAGCATAACTGTGCTCTTGTAGCAGTGTGGGGAGAGTGCCAAACCCCTGCAGGAGTTCCCTTCAGCCTTGGGATAGTGGGTGCACAGGGCATGCTCATAAGCTGTTTATAGGGAATTTTCCAGACTAGTAGTTGTCTAATGTGCAGCCACATGAATACTGTTCTGCTCAGAAAAAGTAAACTGTTCCCTGAAGCAGTGGATTAGGAGGTTTGTGCTAGTTGCATTATTGGTTTTGAGGATTTTGTGATCAACTGTTGAGTACTGGAAGAATTTCTCCTGGGGTGATACTTTTACCTTACATAGAAAGCTTTCAAACTGGCCTCAAACAAATGTTCTCAGTCCTGATTAGGGTGTCCCTTAATTGCCTGTATTAATTACTAAGCTGTGTTTGCTGTTTTTATGATCAAAGTTGGGGTATGGTTTTAGTTCTGTGGGTGTTTTGTGTGCGTTGCATCAGCAACCTGTAGAGCGCTGTGGAAAGCAGAAGTGTAAATGTGAGCTTTATTGTTAGAGCACAGTCTCTCCCTTTCTGCTCCATCCAGTGCTTTATGGCATTTCTGTAAACATCAGGCTCCAACAACTGCACCCTTTCACAAGGAAATCTCCCTTCCAGTGTTCTTGCCATTGGCTCCTTGCTTGTAAATGTGCTTTGACACTGTGCCAAGCCAGAGGCCAGAGCTTTGTGCAAGTGTTTGATATTAGGTTTCCTCAAACAAGCTGTTATTGCTTAAGTTGGAATAGCCTTGTTCTTGTATCTGTGTAATTAGTGTGCTAAGGTGAAGCTTTTTTTTGTTGTCTGAAAAGCAAGCTGCAGTCTGAGCAGTTTCCTGTTCTGAAAATAACTTTTCATCTTTATAAAAGCATCCAAAAGGATTTATTTCTCCTGAGTTATAAAAACTGTTTGAATCTTGCTGTTTGACTAACCTTGTCAAAGGAGACTCTCTTCCTTAGTAGCTGTTGTTATCAGCTTCATTAGTTTAATATGTTTTAAAACCAAACAAATACTACAAAGGTTGAAGTCACAGAAGACTGATGGAAACAATTCTCCGGGGATTTCAGAGGTAGCTGATAGTTGGAACGTTTCTCTTCACCACAAATAAGATTTTTGTTGTCTTAACAGTTGAATGCTATAATATTGAAGCCTTACGCTTTGTGTAATACAATGGCAAACTGTCCTGGAGAATGAGGAAGTTGGTCTAAATGAGTTCGTTGTCAGGCATGAAGTTGAGTTTAACTTAACTTGGGAATAGCCCAATTTCAAGAGAAATTGTCCAGCTGACACTGGTGTGTGGCGGCTCTGCTGTTAGTCTGATAAGTGAGTTATCTTGCCAAATAACTGGCTTCTAAAGGGAAGTGAGACCTCTCCTATTCTCTGATACTGACAAGATTGCAGCTTCATTTTTTTATTTGGAAGATGATATTTTTCAGCGGTGGTTCATAAATACTCGTGGCCTTTTAACGTTGGTAGGTGTCGGGCTTCAAATGCTCAAGTTTAAAAATACCTTCCACAATAATTCATTTAGTCTTACACAAATATGAGTCTTGCTGTTAATCTCACACAAATAATCCAATTCCTTCCATGTAAGGGTAAGTACTCTCTGATGAAACTTTTGCTGTAGTGATAGCATGATCCCAATTAGATTTTAGATAAAATGTTAACATTTTTCTGCTCATTCTGAGCTACAGGATCTCGGGTACCACTTTCCTGTAATCCCAATCAAATATTGTAGGATCAGTATTTATCCTAAAGGAGAGGAAGAAGTGGAGAAAATTTTTATGGAACTAAGCTGAGAACTTACTTTATTGGTTTGACTGTAACCTGTTAGTGATGAGTCCCTGCTCATCCCTTCTTAAAGGGGCAGGCTTAACCTTTAAATACATCATACATAAATTAATATAACATGTATGCTAACAGCTCAGGTGCTTAAGTGTTCACAGCTTTGTTGTAAACTTACAACTGAATGTTCTGAAGTCAGCAGCTGAGTGATCCAAAATAAAAGCTGGATTCTTCCCACCTGTTAAACCTCCTCTAAGAGCTGATACAACTATTAGTAAGCCAGTATCTTTAGGCTGTTGATATGTGGAGCAGTAGGTGCTCTTGGAGAGCATGGTGTAGTTTGGTAGCAACTGGTGACTGTGTGTGTGGGATCATGTAAAGCTCAAGGATTTGTGAACTAAATCTGTAAACTCTAAGCACTCAAAGCTGAGCTAAAACCAGGCAGGAAAGTGTGTGTGTTGCATATTAATTATATTTTCTTGGTTTGCGAATATTAGTAAACTGGCAGAATAAATAAACTGAAATCGAGCTGAGGAGCTTTTGCAAGTTCTCTGAATGAAGCAGCTGCCTCTGGCCGTGTTTATGAGGTGCAAAACACCTTGTGGCTGGATGACACTGTATCCCCTGCTCATATTCCCCTCTAATCACCCAGATAAATGCTTCTCTGTCCAGATGTGTTTAAATACACACGATGTGTAATGTGAAGAGCTGTATTAATCTTCTATTCAGACTGAGAAATTATATTGAAAGCGGTGTTAAGGAACCAGATGGGCTCTTGTTTCAAGCACATTAAGTGACCTAGAACCTGAAGACAGCACAGCTATAATACTCTATTAAATGAAGCATCTAGCTGTGAGCCATGTGTCACTAACTTTTTTTTTCCCTCTCCTGAGCATTAAGGGAACCATCTGGTTATTTGCCAGGTTAACTTGATTCTATTAGGGTGATCTTATTGCAGCTGGCTTACAGGTTTGCTGTGGCAGGATTAGTGTCCTGCTGTTACAGTGAGTGATATTTATGTGTCAGGAGAGTTTTAAGCAGAGATGTCAAAATAAATACTGAGGTAAAGGCAAACGGAGGACTTGCTATACTTCTACAGCTCTTAGTTCAGTCTTAATGGTACCTTGTCCAGAACATTTGTTTGCCTTTAGCAGCTGACTTCTCTCCTTAGAGTGTTCTGCAATCTGATTATATTTTCCTAGAAGAAACAATTGTTAGTGACAATCTGTAAAAGAGCTTTAAATCACATTTTAAACTTTTAAATACTTTTCGTTCTATTTCTGCTTTTCTTCCAATTATTGATCCAGCATGTTTGAGGACCAGCTGCATACCTATTTATTGATTTATGAATGCGAAGTAGCAGCGGTGTGACCTTTCCTCATCTGATATGGCAACTGTGTGTAATGTTTACTGCTTCTTATGTGAGGTCCTTCATGACCTCTTTCTTTAAAAAAGAGCTCATGGACTTGAACCTTCATCAGCTGAGCAAGGCATGGAAAGGGATCAATTCCTACATTTTGCTTGCCAGACTGAGAGGAAGTAAACACATGTGTCTAGTTTTCAGTACTTATCCTACTTAGAAGATTCAAGACCTTGCTAAAAATCATTTAGAGAAATGGGACTACATTAGAAATTTTCTAATCTATGCTATACAGAAAGTTTTCTAGTGTGTTAGGTGTTTGTCCAAACGCTGACCCTGCCTAATGTAGGAGATCTTGCGGGGTAACAATACACTGAGGTACTTGTTTAACGTGTGAGCAAAACCCAGCTCTCAGTTGGGCAAGATTACTATAATCACTAATTCCTGTGCAGTCTGTTGCAATGGCAGTAGTTAGCATTCAAACAGTAGTTAGTTGTCTTGATTTGCCTGTAGTCTGTATTTTTCCTAGCAGTATTTTGTTTAATCAGTGATGCCAGATATTTAATCTCTTCCAGGCTTTTTTCTTGTGTATTTCTCAGCAGTATAGCCAGGGAATTAGCAAATGTATGTTTAAAGTTCCTGCTGTTCAGATTATTGAAAGAGTTGCTTGACTCCAGTGAAATAATCGGTTATATCTGAAGGTATCCTAAGGAAATTTGCTGTTGGTATGATCAGATAGATGTTTTGCACTTATGTGTCAATCTCTGTTGCCCTGCTTCCTCTTTGACTGCTGCTGCAGATGACTCTGTATGTGAATTGTAAACTTACTTCCCTTTCTTACAGGATGATGTGAGGCAGAAAGTGCACCTGAATACCTTTGGTTTCTTCAAGAATGGTTTCATGAAAGTCAATGTCAGCAACCTCTCATTGAAGCCACCTGTGAGCTCTGATGACAAAGACAGCTTATCAGTAAGTTACTTTGAGTCCAGTGACTGTATTAAACCTTCTGTGAAATTGCCCTTGCACTGGATGCCTTGTTTGAGGTGTCAGATCCTAACTGGTGACAGTAGGATCAGTGTTACTGCTGACAGTAACTGTCTCATTTTTAGAGCACTCTAGCACCACATGTTATATAGCACATTATATTTTAATAGAGGCACTGAAATACTAGGGTAGAAGACAGACCTGTGTTCTTACTCTTTGGCACAGTTCAACCTCTTTACTGAAAGCAATAAATGTTTTCTTCAAGCAAAAACATCTGGAAGAACACTGCAATAAGTTAAAAGGCTCAGGGGCAGAAGGTACTTTAGGTGAGTTCAGGATATTAGTTATCCACTAATATTTTATTCTTGGTGGATGTGGATAAAGCAGCAAGTTTATTATAGTTGAATATTTTCTCCATCTAATTAGATAATGAGAAAAATACCTGGATTCTGCCTTAAATGTAGGTTAAGTTATTTAGAGAGCAGTATCATTGACTCTTTGTGTGGTGATTTGGCTTCTGATACTAGAGGAATGTGAGCTGGTTTTAATTTGACAGATTCTTCTCAACTGTCTCATAGGTGGGGTTCAGTTTGGATCGAACCAGGAATGATGGGTTCTCCACTTATCTGGTAAGAGATGTGAATTTGCTTTCCTAACTTGGGGACCTTACTCCAGGAATGGTTGGAAGAAATAAAAGAAGGGGGAGTGAGGGGGCTTTGGACATGGCAGGGTGTTAAAGATAATTCAGTTTTACAACTTTGTGGACTCATAATAGTTATCTCTACCTGGAGCAGGGGGAACATGTCCCATTTCTTATAAACAGGGGGCACTCCAAAGGTGTTTTGCTTCTATTACCAGGATGAAGAAGTTGATTACTGTATCTTGAAAAAGAAACCAGATCAAGACGTTTCTGTTATACTCTTACTTCTGGACTTCAAAACTGAAGTGTGAGTAAATAGTGTACTCTACACTTTAAAGTTATTAACTCTTTATAAATGTTGATTTACTTTCATTTTGAATAAAACCTCTTTTATTTGTTTGTTTAGTGTGAAGGTACAGTTCTCTGCAGAAGCTGCTGCTTTGTTACCTAAAATTTCATTCATGTCTGAGGAGAATGCTACTGCATTAAGTACCAAGCTGCTAAAAACTTCTGAACAGAGCAGTGATTCTGGTAAAAATCCTATAAAGACCAACCCAAATACAGACAGCAAAGGTAAACCTCCTAAACCTGACCTATATGTGCTCCCACTAGGAGCTGCTTGTTGATGTGGATCCAGCAATGTATTGTCACATTTTGGGGTCTGGACTGCTGAGCAGCCTGATCTGAAGTAGCCCGAGTCTCTCTTGGCCCATGATGTTCACAGGCTTTAATATTGTTGAAAAATTTGTGCCGTTGTTTAACAAGTCAAGAACTGAATCTTGGTGGCACCAAAGATTGATCTGATGGCTCTAGTTTTGCTTTCTCTTGCATGTTGACAGTGCACTGAGGTGCGGGAGCCAAAAGCCAAGCTGAAGACTTGAACTTTTGCTTACTGGTAGAATGGGGTGACCTTATGTTTGAAAAGCTTCTTACAGGAGTGGAGGGAAACTGAACTTGACATGCTGCTCCATTGAAGCCTCCTGTCAATTTAAGTTTCTCAAGTTCAGAACAGATATTGGCTTGGCAAAGGTCACCTGTGCTTTTGGGTTTTCTTTGATTGTTTTTTTACTGGGGCTTTACTTAGTAGAGAGCTGAGAACTTTTTCCTTCCCCAGGGCTAATTGGACTTCAGTGTGTTTGTCAGGCCATGTATTAATGTCCAGGTTAAGATTAGTCAGTGAGATTAAAAGTACTCAGTCATAACATTAAAAATCATAGCTGTAGCCTGCATCTGGTATAGGTCATCTGCTTCCTGGATTGTTGTAATTGGAGGGGTTGGGAATATTTCTTCAGTATGCTTTTGTACAAGGTTTAATAGTAGAGAAGCTTGTTCTAGCATTTGAGCATGCATTCAGAATGAATGCTAGTTGTGGGAAGTCCTGGGAGAGTTTAAGGGGAGACTGGGAAAGAATCTCTGTTAATAATTACCTAGGAAACTGCCACGCAGACAACTGTTAGAAAGAGTTGAGTAAGGTATTTCAATGTGTAAAAGGATGTCTAAATGCAAACACTCTAAATGTACTATTAATACTTTTATCTCTAGATAACAAGTCCAAACAAAGTACATCATCCTCCCAGGTAAGAAACTATCTGCTGTTCTCTTTCAGAAAGAACCTTGGGGGTTATTCTAGTGTAAGCACAGCCAGAAAGTGGAGAGTATTGTTTTTTCCTTAGCCTTCCTCTGCTGTAAATACACCGAATGCAGTTTTGATTGTCTGGATGATGTAGCCAAATGTGGTAGATAGCCACTTAAAACGTCTAAAAGTCTTTTCTTCTTTTCCCAGAGCATAATAGAACAAGAACATCCTGTTCACAATGACAGAGGAACTTTTTCATTTCAGGTAGGGTGTCTGTCAGTATCTGGTCTTAATGTGTGCCAACAGTTCTTTCACTGTATTACTGTGTGGAAAGTAGAAGTCTGTCAGAGATGCCTCTGATAGCTCAGTATGTTTTTCAGTAGATGCTTGTTAAAAGCAAATGATGGAAATCTCTTTCTTCTTAAGGTGTGGAAGCTGTTTTGAACTGCCTTTGGTATGATGTAGTTCTAAATGTCTCAATCTGTGAGCCTCAGCTTATTGAAGTTTACTGTGATACAACTAGTGCGTACAGATTGCTAACAACAAATAGCTGTGACCTGAGTGATGACTCACTTCAGGGGGAGATACTCTGTATGAAACCAGATTAACACTTTGTTTCAGCACACTGGCTCACTGATGATGGTTACTACAAAACAAACTCATTTTAAATTCTGTAATGTGACACAAATCTCATTTCCATAGCTATCACAATTTATATAGTTGAGGGAGGAACAGAATAGCTGCTTATGCTTCAGGGCAGATATGATCAAAACTTTGTTCTTCATCATATGATATATGATTCAATATATAATACTTCTTGATGTCTTTTCTCTGCAGTGAACCACGTTAAATATTGATACCTAAAGGTCTTCAATAAAGATCTTGAATTACCAGAGTGTATAATCATAGATAGGTGCAATGATTTTGCATCTGGAATTCTGTTGATATGCTGGTATCCTCAGACCAGTACAACTTGCTGAAAGGAACAGATGACCCTCAGTGACAGACTTTTTTCATGCTTCAGTAGAGATGATTTCTTACCAGGGCAACCCTGTTGTGAATGAAAAGAATGCTAACTTTCCTTTTCCTCATTTCCAGTTCTTTTTTAACATCAGCTCTGATAACCAAGAAGGTCTCTACAGCCTGTATTTCCATAAGTGTGTTGGCAAGGATGGGCCAGCAAATGATCAGCAGCTATTTAGTCTTGATGTAAGTATAGCTTCTGAAGGATAATTAACTCATTCACTTAGACTGAAACATAGAGCTTTCAATTCTGGCTTGCATACCCATGAGTATACAACATGAGTGCATATATGGGGTGGGGAGTGATTCAGAGTTGTGCATTTAAATCTGTAGTGGCATTTCTGAAGGAAGCAACTACATTAAGAAGCATTGAAGTACTGGTTTAGCAGAAATGTCTGGAAATCTGAAGACTGCGTGTGGGCTGGGTTCAGTCTACACAGTTGTGACTAGATGCTGTAATGAGATGGGAGCTAAACCAGCTGTTTGTGTTCTGCTATGCTCAAAAATCACTTTTTTTCTTGACACAATTGCAGATGTTAGGGCTGTGGTTGCAATCTAAATTGTTGGTATTTGTGAATTCATTGTTTCTGATCTTTATGGCCTCATTAAAGATGTGGTTTGCAGTGTTAGAAGCAAATCCTAAACACAGGATGGTATAACAAATGTCTTGTCCCTTTTGACATCCATGGTTTTGGTTCTGTGTTCTTTTGAACCAGAGTACATTATCACAGCTCAGGCTTTCTTTTTTTTCCCTTTCCTGTTCTCATGCTGGTGTGTAGTGAGCTATTCTGTAACAAATCCTCTCATTGACCAAGGTAACTCTCAGCCAGATCAGCCCCTGAACTCCTTTTTACATGGTTGTGCTGATACTGCTGCAAGGGAAAACCGAGGGAACTTGTAGGTGCTAAAACTTAGCAGCCCTAACTTAGCTCGGGCTAGACCACATTAAATCTGCTTCTGAAGTTTTATGTTCAGAAGACCAGTTTTCTTTTAATTGCTTTTTGTTGTTTTGACCTGCTGATGAAATTGGAAAGGAAAGAAAACCTGAATAACTCATCTGCTTGGTTGTGTTTAGAGGTGCAGGACAGTTTCAGTACTGCCAACTAGTCTTGATGCATTGTTTTAATGAGGTCCTAGCATGTATAACCAGGACATAAACAGGATGTTAAAGAAAGCTTCTGTTTTCTCACAGGGTAATAGGCTTGCAGCAGGGTGCTTCCTTTCTCTTGACAGATGAAGAAATCCACTGTAGTAAACCCAAGAGTGGGGTTTTCAGCTATGTTTGACTCTGCACACCTAAAATCAGGACTGTGCTAAAAAATCCTGCTTGATTATGCAAGATTTTTAGATACTGCTTCTGAATCAAAGATGGACAAATTCTGAAAATTGATATAGAGAACAAGTATTCTTTGGGAAAATTACTTTGCCTTTCTGAATTATGTTGACTAACTGAAGCACTGGAAGGAGCCTCTGTCCTTTTCTACTTTTCAAGGAAATTATGGGTGTGATTTTGCAAAATGTTTTGAGCTTCTTGAGGATGAAGGGTTGCTTTAAGAGTCTTATAACAGTCACTGCTTCAGAAAAGCTGATTTGAAATGAGTGAATTCGATGGTGAATTGTAATTGTTAACTCAGTGCTTTAACAAAATGTGTTTTCAACTGTTCATATAACACACCTTTAATCTTCAGATAGAAATTACGGAAAAGAATCCTGAAAGCTACCTCTCAGCGGGTGAGATCCCACTGCCAAAGCTTTACATTTCCATGGCTATCTTCTTTTTCCTGTCTGGGACTGTATGGATCCACATACTTCGTAAACGCAGGTAAGTGGACTGGTTCAGTGTGAGGGATAGGTATGGGCCTACCTTCTTTGGTTTGGGGGGGGGGTTATTCCTTATAGAATGCTCAATTCACAGCCAGATTTTATCACTTAAAACTCCAAATCTGGCTCAGTATAGTCTGCCTAACACTTATACTGAAAACAACTACCTCCATCAGTATCATGGCTGCAGACCATTGTTCTGAAGTTACCAAGTATTATGTGAAGAAATTCGTATATTGTAGCAGCAAATAAACAGGAAACTTTGTGTAGCTGGTGACAAAAGAACACTGTTTGAAAATAACAAGAAAAACTTGATCAAGGAGGCTTTTTGTGTGGGGAATGGCAGAATATGGCAGTGGAGAGCCATAAACGTTTTGATTATAGTTGAAAGTGGTAGGAATTCCTGATTGAAAACCATGTTGCTTCTTCACAGTCAAAGCATAGCAACAGAAGCCAGGAGCACCTATGATTCCATTTTGGCTTTTCCTCTGACATAGTCTGAAGTTCACGTGGTGGCAGGGTTACTCAGCAGTGTGGGGTTCACTTGGTGATCAGATTATTTGATAGTTTGAAGGTCAGTTGGTGATGCTGATTTGGTAGTCTGGAGTTCACTTGGTGGTGTAGTGTCTTGGGGGCAGAGTGATACATGTTTGAGTTATGTTTAGCAGATTTTCAAACACTTATGGTCAATATATGCAAGATGTTCCTATGAATTGCTATTTTTAAATAACCCAAGCATTAAAAATAGAATATGCAGAACATGTAGTTGAAATGTTGTCCAGGATGTTGCAAAAATCTGGACTGCAGCATTAGAGGGAATCCTTTTACGCTAATAGTCAGCTCAGCCTGGGAATTACTGTTTGATATTTATAGGTTTTAAAGAAATACCCTTGGGCACTGGAATTTTTGTTGCTGGCTTTTAATTGATGGTCTTCCTTCTTTTTTTTTTTTTTCTCTCACCAGAAATGATGTCTTTAAGATTCACTGGCTAATGGCAGCCCTCCCTTTCACAAAATCTCTGTCCTTAGTCTTCCACGCAGTACGTATAATGTCTCTGCCTTCAGTTACTCAGCAAGGAAGTAGAAACATGGAATGCAGGGCATGCTGTCAGGGAGATCTGCTTTGTGGTGGGGAGAGAATGGGAGGGAGAGGAGTGTCTTTCGTATTGAAGCACTGGAACTGAACTGCAGCTGTTTGGTTGATTGTTTTCATCAGCAGGTTTTGACTTCAAATACAGTTGACACCGTGGCCTGAAGTGAAGCAGCAAGCATGCATCAGGGTTGAATGAGTTCCATGAATTCTAATGTTTTGGCTATCTGTGGCTAGCCTGAAAGCTTGAGCTGTGGTGTTGTTTCAGCTGCATGGCTTGCTATAAATGTTAATAAATAGAAACCTTGATGAATGTTTGTACAATTCAGGTCACTACTTTAGATGAAATATTTATGGTGTACTATAACAGATATAATGCTGTAAGCTTTATCGCTTTCAATACATAAAAGGCTCTATTGGATTGTGTTGACTTTGCCTTTCCACTGGAAAGGTCTCATAAACAAAGCTAATGGCAAGCTTTTCATCCTTCAGGGATGGTGCCAGCCGTAACTGCTCCAAACATTTTTGGAGTCTAATGAATTGAATCTGGTTTCCCATGAAACCTCTAGTCACCCAATGCAACTGAACTTGAACAATGAGTGAATAAACAGGTTAAAAATGCAGTTGTTTAACTATAGTTAAGTGTGGGAGGTATGTGGGAAGGATATAGATTGTATAAGATATATCCACTAATACTTAGGAAACGACCTCATCGTTGCTAAACAAAACTAGAACAAGTTGGGAGGAAGTATTCTCTAAGAGGTAGCAGAGCTGAGTTTGCACACAGTTGTTGGAAAATGGAACTTCAGGTGCCTGTCAAGCAGACCTATTTTATAGACATGGCTGGGGTACTGATGAGCAGCTGGTAAAGTAACACACTGTGTTTTCTGCTTCCAGATCGACTATCACTACATTTCTTCTCAGGGATTCCCTATTGAAGGCTGGGCTGTTGTTTATTACATCACTCACCTGTAAGTGTTTGAAGATTGTGGTGGATTCAAACAATGGAATTGAATTCCCTGTGGGGCTGCCCCCTCCTGAGCAAACTGGCAAATTGCTGATTCTTTGGTACTACAGTCTGAATGACAAGACAACAATCAGCCCTGTGTGAGGGGGAAAGCTCTACTTATAAAGGGCAGCTGCAGAGAATTGGCACTTATGTGGGTGGAGGAGTAAAAGCATAAGAAAATGCTTTTCTTTGTTCATAGTAATATTCAAGTATCTAATTTGCTCTTGGTGTGAATGGTAAGAGGGTACAGCTGCAAGTGTTTTCTCTTGTTCAGGGTGATGAATGGACAACTTCCCCTGGAAAAGATTGTGTATATTGACAATTGTGAATGAAGCGTAATACTGCTGTGACACACAGTTGTAAGCAAATACATCTGCTTCACTGTTGCAGGATAAGCACTTGCCAGAATTATGAATAGCAAGGCATTTATTTGGGTTTGTGGCTTTACTTGGCTGTAGGAGAGAACCTGGGCAGAAGAGGAAGTGTGATCAAGTCTCACTGCAGTATCTGTTTCTCTTTCAGACTGAAGGGTGCTCTTCTGTTCATCACTATTGCCCTGATTGGCACAGGCTGGGCTTTCATTAAACACATCCTGTCAGATAAAGACAAAAAAATCTTCATGATTGTCATCCCACTTCAGGTGAGGACTGAGCTGTGTCAATACTTCCTGACTTGTGGGAGAGCTGCTCCTGCAAGCTGTAGAAGGCTGTGGATCCTTTGCGAAGTACCACATAGTTACTGCATGTATAAGCCTCTTGGTTACAGTAAAGTTGAGCTGGAATTTTCTGGATCATAAGTTACTTCAGTAATTTTCCTCATTTTTCTCCCTACATTGAGCATGAGATAATGGTGATCAAATGGCGTCAGCAAACGAACAATTAGCTATGAGGTAGGTTTATTCATGCTGATGCAGAACTTGGGCTGTAGAACAGTACTAAACTACTAAGCAGGGAAAATAAATGAAAGTTGTCACTTCTGAAATGCTTGCTGAATGGACTTAACTAGAAAGAAGGTGCAGGAAACCAGGGACTTGTAGGCCTGCTGGGTGTGAGGGAAACCTTCCCAGCATGTTCAAAGTGATCAGTGCTTGTCTCCTACTCCAGGAACTGAAGTACATAGGAGGGCAGCACTTCTATTTCTTGTTGTAGATAGAACAGCTTTTCTGCAGTTCCAGATGGGATCCCTTAACCAGCTGCAAAACCAGAAATAGATTTAGTGTTTGAGGCCTTTAGAGCTCAGCTATGGAGTACAAAGCATGGTCAATGGCCTGTTTGAATTACTGGTTTATTTTAGTATAATGAGTTTGAACTGTTAGCTATATGTGTGTCCTGTTTCTTTAATAGGTTTTGCTCTTTTTATCTCTGATACAGTAGATTCAGCATAGCATATAACAAAAAAGACTACTTTCTGAATGTCAGTAGAAAAAAGTTCCAATCAGTTTTATTTCTATAAATCCTATGAAGATGCTGCTGAATGTGTGACTTTCTTGACATAGAGCTGCAGAAGAGTTATTGATGTTACTGAACAGGCTCTTTCTGCAACTATGGGACAGCTTTTGCTGAATTGACAGCACACATTTAGTATCTCCTTGGAAAGCTGCTAAAACCATTAAACATGTTTTTGTCCTGTAGGTACTGGCAAATGTGGCATACATTATCATAGAGTCAACGGAAGAGGGGACAACTGAATATGGGCTGTGGAAAGAAATCCTTTTCCTGGTAGACTTGCTATGTTGTGGAGCAATCCTGTTTCCAGTGGTATGGTGAGTCACTGTGTGTGTTGTTTGGTTTCTAAGTCCTGATGGCTTGAGCTATTTCAGAATTAATGGATATTGACTGCTAAGTGGAGCTAAACATACTGCCAAAGCAAAAAAAGTCAGTCCTTTGGAGTCAAGCGTTCAGTTAACTTCTTTTAAACTGTCTTAACACTTGTTCTGGGGATGTTAAAGTGAAGATAAGGTGGGTGGCAATTTAAGCACGGCCAGCACAGTGCTTTTGAAACTTGGAATTTTGCAGAAGTGCTGAGTCTTATAATGAGAAACAAGATTTTGCTTTACTGGCTGAGGCTGGAAACTAGGCTGCTAGATTGAAAAGCAATAGTGCTGTCTAAGATCAGTGCTGCCTTCAAGCAGAGTAGCTGCATTTTTTACTTGATTGTTTAGAAGAAATAATCCCACAGGGAGCATCTCCCTGCCCTTCCTTCCACTCTACTTGGCAAGCAATAATGATGGTTATGTAAAACTCGACCAAAACACAGATAATTCAGATAAACACTATTGTTGCTGCTTGCCAATTAGCCAGAACATTTATCTTCTAAATTCATTTTCGTCTTAATTGGGTAAACAGCTGGATATGAAGAACCTTCTGGCTCCTTGGTTAGTAAATGCATAATACTCTTTTTCTCCAGTATTTTTTTCTGAGATGCAGGGTGAATATAAATGTCTAGTAAACATGTCATCACTCTAGAGTGTAACTCTTGAGTGTTTGAGAACTGTTTCATAATGCATGTGTTTGTGTGTCTGTATAAAGACAAAATACATATTGCTCAATAGGCAGCAGTAAACTTCAGCTTGGCTTGTGAGGGTGGATTTCAGTTGTCCTCATCCCCAGTTGTCCTCTGTGTAAGGGTGAAATCCTACACAGTGTTGGCAGCCTTCTGCCAAGGCTGGAAAATGTCTTTGAAGAAATTCACACTACCCTTTATGCCTTCCCCTACCCCTTATGCCTTCCCCTATTCCAGCCAAAATGCTGCAGCTCTTCTGAGGTTAGGAGCGTTTGAGTATGGTAAATAAATCTGCAGGAATACTAACTTTACTTGTGGACAGGCTCTGATTTCCTATGATAATGCTAGAATTACTACCTAATGCTAGAATTCATACATCATACCTAATGATAGGTACAGAACTTGCTTCCCAGGAAAGAACTGTATCTGAAGAACAACTGCATTTGGGTGAGTTGTCATGTAACTGTGTACAGTGTGCAACCACTGTTCCTGCATTGTCATGGTACCAATATAAACTGGCAGTGAAGCCCAGGACATAAAATCCTGTCCCTTTTTCATTTGGATAATGTTGCTGCAGCTGGTGGGCTGACTTGTGAACAAGGTGACTAAGGCTTGGCCCTTGAATTTACATTCCTGCAGGGTAGCTTCTGTTACGTAAGTTGCCTATGTAGACATATAAGCTGTAATCAACTATCCAAATGAAAAGAGCTTAAATGAGCAGTAAGATGCCAAATGCTTGGCAGGACTCTGTGTAGTAGCTCAGCTTAATTGTACAAGTGGAAAGCATTATGTTGGAAAATGCCCTAGTTTCTTACTCTGCTCTCTCCCTCCCACAAACCTTTCTGTAGGCTGAAATAGGTTTTAGCAATCAGATTTCTTAATCACAAGGAGGTACAGATTCTTAAACTAACTGCCTGAGCTGGGGAGATCATAGAATCTATGAATTAAGATCATCTAGTTAACACCCCCCGCCTGCCATGGGCAGGGACACCTCACACTAGATGGGGATGAAATACATGCAGTGCCAATCATGCTAAGCACAGCTAATTACAAGCGTAACCCAGTCATAAAGAGCTAACAAGACTTCTCAGTGTTCTAGAGGGCTACAGTGAAAAGGGAGTGTAAAACTTATAGCTAATCCCCTCTCTTTTTACTTTTATTTTTCAGGTCAATAAGACATTTACAGGAGGCTTCAGCAACAGATGGAAAAGGCAAGTAATCTGTAATGTCTCTTCTGCTGCATGCCATAAGATAATGCCACAATTTCAAACACATGATTTAAAATATGTAAACTAAAACTATGAATCTACACTATGTCAGTGTCAGACTGCTGCTTTTCCTCAGTGAGGCTCATAGGAATAACTTCTGGACCATTCTCATGTATTGCTTCATCAGAACTTGTATGTGGAAGTAATTTTCTGGTACTTGCACAGCTCTCAGTGCTTGAGCTAGGCATGACATCTTGATAGATTTGTCTTCTCAGGCTTGAGTGTTCAGAAGCAGAACTAGAACTGAATTCCAGAATTGCTGACTATTAGTCAAAATAGCCCCCCTTATTTCAGTTTCTGCAGAGGGAAACAGACCTGATTAGGAAACAAAACAAACTGGCATTCAGTGTAACACAGTTCTTGACTTGTCCATGTTTGTACAGCAGCTTAAAGGACTGCTTGTGTAAAGTTGTGTTTATTGTAGCAGTGGAATTGAGATGATGGATGGAAAGTTAACTCAAATGTGGCTTCTATAGAGTGTGCTTTTCCTGCCTTATCTACTCACTTCTTTGCAGATGCCAACCATGGAGCGTAGCGCTGGCTTCCTTGTAATCAGGCAGCCATTACTCTTGTCTCTCCTTTCTGGAGATAGACTTCTAGGTCTGGATGCTGCTTCCAGCCATTTCCTTGGCTTCCACTGAGATACTTGTAATTCAGCGCATTGCTTCTGTGGTCTAGTAGGTGAAGGATGAGGCTGGGTGCTGAATTCTGCTCCTTGCAGACCACAGATTAGGTCTTTTCTTGCTATCTGTTAAATTGAAACAATACTTCAGATGAGCTCAGCATTTTTTTTGTTGAGATTCCATGCTGTTAAAACAAACAAACCCCAACCACCATACACACACAACCCCCCCAAACCCTGGGGGGGGGAACTAATATCTAACAGAAACCAAGGTAGAAGAGACTAGTATTGATGATGTAACATGAATATTATTGGCAGCTTTCTCTTCAATGTGTTCACATGGGTGCAGTGACATTCATCAATGACTTTGTCTTGCCTTGACCACTGAGCAAATGTTCTGGAGTGCTTATGCTCTTACTGTTAAAAGGTCTGCTTGAATGTAGACACTCCTTGAAGCAGTTTCTTCTGAAGTGAGGACTTTGCATATATAAGGCCTGGTTCTTAGCAGAAGCCACTGTCTGTGACTGTAAGGGGAGGTCAGTGTTCCTATAAACAAGGCAGAACTTCTGGGTGGCAGGGTGGGTCTGTGACTATTCCAACACTGAGCACTCAGCAGCTAGTGATTATAACTGAGATACAAACCTACATCTGTGGGGCCCCTGGTGATCACCTCTTGCCAACCTTGCACTTGGTGGTTCTTATCACAAGATGGTGCTATGGAGTTTGCTTAAGTTCAAACCATACCGAGTGAAGGAGCAGAGCAAGGTGGCCAGCATCAGGGATGTTCAGCATAAGACTGGACCTGTCCACTCTTCATTGTAATGGGTGCAATATAGATACGAGTAAAACCAAGCAGTTCTAGAGGGTAAATTGTAGTGTATAATGGAGGTAAAAGAAAATGGAGACTTGAGAACCAGTTGTGTCTTTATAGCTAGTCAGTGCTAGGCACAACAGCCCTTAAGGGCTCTTCTTGGTCCTCTGTTTTGTGTTATTCACCATGGCTAATGGCACTTGTGAATGTTGCTTCTGGATCACTGCTGTTACCATGCTTTACCTACTGGTGTTACCATCTGTAACATCAAGTTACAGATGGTAACATCAGATCCTACAAGATCAGTAATTGTCTGTTGAGGGGGATTTAGCGGCTGTGTTATGCTATACTAATCATAAAAGAAGAGCTAAGGAAAAAAACTCTTCAGGGAAAACATTGCATAGGCTGCAGCAGATTGTTGACAGGACAGCCACAGTGATGGGACTTGCTTCTGAAATACAACGTGGTTGGAGTATTTAGAAGCTGTTGATAGGAACCCACGGGGAGCAAGTGAATGGCAACGTGATACCAGAAGCAGAATGTTATCTAACGTTGTCATGCCGCTAACGTGCCTGTTTGAGAAAACTGAAAGTGATTTGGTTGCACTGTAATAAGATAAAATCAGTCATGTTAAACTTATCAATGAGTAGTCTTGACCAGAACCACATGCTCTTAACTCTGTAGCCTTTCTTTGGAGGCCCTTTCCTGCAGAGGTGCTGCTCTGTGTCTTAGCTTCCCATGAGAAAAGCAGCACCTGTGCTGACTCTGAGATCACCAGCACTTGTGTTTTTCCACAGTTGAAGATGGTTTTCTCCTGAAGTGGTAAAAACTACTGGGTCCTCTCACAAGGCAGTTTAACTGCTGCACTGCCTGTGCTGTGGTTAGAGCTGACAGTCTTGTGCAGACAGTTTTAGTTGGACTGCTTATTGCTTGCTAGGATTTATTGTCTAGTATTACCTCAAAGGCTGTTTTCCCTGTTCTCTCACACAGACTTCATTAACGTATAGGATGTCCTGGGGAATTATATACTATAAATCCAATAGCTGTTTTTCCTGGCGCTCAGTCTTCTGGTGACCTTCTCGCTGGTGAGAAAAACCTAAGGAAAATTGGTTTTTCTTCTTTGTGTCTATTAGAGCTAACAACTCCAAGGACTTCATGGCTCAGTATCCTGGTGGTGTTTCCTGACTGTCTGTCTTGTCCTCTTCCAGCTACTTCACAACCTGTTCATTAGATAGCATTCCCTTGGGTCAAGTGCAGGCATGACTGCAGCGTGCGTGACTAGAAATGAAGCAGCAGGCTGTCAGGACTACCTGTCTTTCAGTCTTACAGTTGTGCTTGCCATAGGCCTTGGTATTAGTAATGTACAATTATTAAAAAGGCTTGGTATATGTAGCAGTGATTTGTAGCCACTATGTAATGGCTATTTAAACTTGATTTGGTTTTTTTTTTAAGGGTTTTCTAAAGTGGGAAAGCTGAAGGAATATGTCCAAAGCCATAGTTATCCAGAGAGACATTATGCACAAATGCTGTGGATTGCTGGGGAAGAGTAGGCATGGCACAGTGATACAGCTGAGTTCGAGCTGCCTGGTTGTTGTTTTTTCCCTTGAAGATGATCTTTAACTCTGAAGCAAAGTATCTGACCTACACAGGCTTCTTATCTTATACAGCAGTGGGTGTAAGCATCCCAGTTTTAGAAGCTTTGTTTTTCTTCCCCCTTTAAAAATCACCACCTTCAGACTTAAGCAAGTGCCTCACTGCAGCTCTTTGGTCTGTCACTGTATCTTCTGTCAGTTGGAAGTACGTGCTCTCTGCCCATTTTTAGGTCTGCTTTACAAATGTCTTGCAGATCTAAGGATACCAGCCTTGCTAACTGAACTGTCTGGGCTGGAAAGTTGCTCAACTGCCACTACCTTGTTTACAGGCCTCATGAGAAAAGGAAGAGAGAGAACATGTTGTAGTAAACTTGCTCATTTTAGTTTGAAACTCAAAGTGGTTGGTCGTGGACCTCTCAAGACTTATAACCCACTCGTGTGGATCATGTCATTTGTTTGAGGGGGGAATGGAGAGCTAGAAACGCTGCTGCAGGTTTTGTTCTGCTTCTGCCTCTGCGCGTGTGATGAGATGTGAAACTCAGTGCAGTCTGATCACGAACTCTTAGCTATTTTCCTGAAGCACTGCAGCGTGTCATAGTTGGCAGCAGAATTAGGGGAAATACATCGCAGTGTGTAGCTCCCAGGCAGCATTCCCTGTGTGCTGTGCAGTGGGCAAACGATGAATAATGCTTTCACGCTTGCCCCCATGTCAGGAAAAACCATTTGCTGTATTCAGTGTCTTCGTGCTTCTGTATCATGAAAATGCTGTGAACAGAGAGCCTGGTCCTGCCTGGTGCAGAGCACCCTCTGCTCAGCTGAGCTCAGCAGACGCTGGAGGCAATGGCTCTGTGGAGACCCGTGCTAAAACACCTCTGCAGCTCTGGTGAGGAGGAGGGGGTAAATGTGCTCTAGGCAATACACGGGCATCTCAAACCTTGAGATAAAGCTTAGTGATTTAAGTGTCAAGACCTCAATGGATAGCACTGGAGAGCTGGGAAATGTTGAGAAATGCAAGCTGAGAAGTGAAATAGGCCTATTGTGTTCCAGTGTACCACTTCCAGGCGCCCTAGATAGCTGCCCAGGGTCGATGTAGCAGTTCCTGTTGGTGATACATCGCTTATCCTGTTCTTTGGACTTCCTTCTGACCCTTAGGGGGAACTTCTGTGCCAAGTGGCTAATGTGTTTCAGAATATTGAAGATTAACAAGTCTGTGCCACTTCTCATGCATGACACTGAGAGTCACTGCATCTGGTTGCTTGATCTCTTCTTTCTAGTATAGGAATGCTTTTAAGCAGAGTGTTAGAGAGATTATAGAGCCATACTTCTCAGAGTAACTCCTGGGGCTGCTTTTTGAGGTCTAGATCTGAGTGTGTGCCTTCATTCTTGGGGAGAGTAGGAAAAAAATCCATTTACTATTTGGTAGCAGCACAGATTGCATCTCAGATGCACCAGAGTTAGCACAGCATGCAAAGCATTGTGGAACTATTTAGCTGTACTTGAGTGTGTTCACTCCAGATGCATTATGGCTTGCCCTTGTTTACTGTACTGTCTGGACTTGAGTTCTCTGTGCCCTCAGCAAAGTCCTATTATTGTTATTACGTATTCTAAAAAGGTCAGATTGATTCATCAGAAAGCTATTGTCTGGTGTGTAAAGCTGTAGTGGATGGTGTGACTGTTTTTCCCCCATCTTACAGGCTGTCTCAGCGTTTGAAATTAGCACAGGGGCAACCTGAAAAAGGGATCTGATTATGAAAATACTGTGGTATACTGTTTTGATCACTGTGGATCAGACTACTGTAGGCACAAATTGTTAAAGTAAATGCTGCTAGGGAGGGAAGCAAGGTATAGATGTTGTTATAAACCTTTCTTGGAGGACGCCTTTTAGCTTTTTAATTACCCTGTGAGAAAGATGGAACATAGGTCTGAATTCATTTGTAAGGCCTTTGGTAGAAAGTCTCTGCTTTTTTGTGTTTTTCCTTCTCTGCAGTTAAGTAGAGTTCCTTGGAGAATGGTTATCATACCCGAGACATAAATTTACCCAACCTTTACTGCGTGCTGTGATTGCTGCTGTGTTATCACAGCTTTACAGGTTGGAGCTTCAAGTGATTCAAGTTGTAAGTGACAGCTGCTGGCCTAGCCTCTGTCCTTGGAAATGTTGCTGTCGGTGTCTGGACTGCCAGGCTGAGGTGAATCAAAGTCTGCAAGCGTCCAGCATAGCAGGACTCCAGTATTGCTGCTTGGAGCACGTTCAGCCTGTGAAGAAGCAATTTGCAGGCGATGCCAAGCAATGATGATTTTAGATTTTCTCCAGAACAGTGTGTGCTTTAACTTTGAGCTGTTTAAAAAAACCTGGCAGAATGTTGTAGGCATGCATTAATACTTCAGTATCTGATAGCGGAGAGAAGTATTGCTGAAGTTGAGGCAGCTAGAGGAGAGCACCTAGTTGTGATAAAGGAGCAAGCCAACTTCCAGAGGTGGCTCTTCGGTCTTTCTGCTCGGTGGTGGTTGCCTTTTTTTCCACCCCTTTCCCTTCTTTCCCATGCTCAGCCATTCTAGATACTTGGATGTACCAACTTAGGACTCTTTGGTATTGATTATCATGATGAGTAGGTGAGATCTTGAGCTGTGCTCTGTCACCTAGAAGAGGTGGCATTGTGATAATTCACTTGGCAGCCAGATCGTTGGCTTCATGATCCTTTCCTCCTATGCACTGCATGAATCCAACAGAAATGACTCCCCAGCTCACTCAGTTGTTGACTGTAAAGCACTGATGGCCTGGCAGTTTGAATCACAGCTGTTGAGTTGGTGTTCCTTTAACTGCAAAGCCTGGTAATTCTCATGGCCTGTCATTGCACCAGTTGGTGGCAGTTCTTGAAGATGGATGCGTTGAGTTCAAAATAGATCCTTCTGTGTATAAACTGGTATGTGGTAAATCACAGGATCTTTGTGGTTGCACTTAATGTAGCTCTCCTTTAAATAGGACAGTATTGCTTCCCCACTTCACAATTTAATGAGTTTGTCCTGCATATTTAGATGCTTTAATTTTTCTCCATGAAAAGCTTTTATCATTAGGTTATCTGGTAGAGCACTAGACCCATAAAGTCCATAAGTTTTTGCTATTTATATGCTGGAAAGTAGCTTTTGCAAGGGAGGGAAATGGGGGAGAAGGAGCTAAGCCAAATGTCTTAGTAGCTACCAAAGATTTACTTATTGTTGTTCTAGCAGTTCTAGGTCTTGCCATCTGTTGCCCAGTGGAGTGCTCTGTGCTTCAATGCTGGTACACTACAGATGCAAGTCTAGAGCTTAGGCAGTGCTTTCTGGAGTCCAGGACTGTATATTGCAAAGAGGATGCTATTTTATGTTCAGCATTTCATATTGCAGTTCAGAAGGGATTATGCTCCCAAAACTGAGAGCTAGTGTGACATACTGTGCCATAAGGTTGACCCTATGAGCTCAGTCTTGCCCAAAGCCAACCCAGATGGACTGGTGTTCAGATGAGCATCATACAGGAGGCGTTTTAGCTGCGTGGAACCAATCCTTCTCAAATAAGGTTTGCTTTTTTCCTCTTGAGCTCTGGCTTTGCTTTCTCTTACTGACATGTCCTGTCTTCTTTCAGAAGTTAAACATGCTGTTTGGAAATACGTAGAAGCCACTAGCCAGCACTACATCAAAACTACTCTTAGTAGCTTAGTTTTATCTACCTGTCAGCTAGTTTATGCCTTGTGTTAGTCAGGTGCTGTTGTTATAGTACATCTGCTGGAACAGGGTTTGTATCTGTCTTGAGGTATCCATAGCTTTCAGTGGTTCTCCTGGAACACTAAAGGTAAGTTGGAAAAGGACTCTTGATTTCTAGATTATACAAAGTAAGCTTAGAACAGAATGTTGTCTGTCTTCGCTGTATGTGGGAGCCTTTAGGAGTTTGAGTGGTGCATTTGACATTACCTTTCCATAAGAAAAGCTTCATTTTTTTGCCACAGGAAGTAAAGCGTTGCTTTGGTAGCTATTATTCCTCCTCTTTCTCATGCATAATACTGTATTTTGCACTGTTGTGAACCTGGAAGACCTCATGTGCAAATCCTTGCAAAACTCTGCTTTTTGCAGTGGGTGATTTCTGTGAGGGAGTGCAGGCAAACTTAAGCACAATGTGTTGCATTTCCACATCTGATTAAAAAAAACAGGAGGGCTCCATTGAATACCAACCAGTAAGTATGTGGCAGTATTTTCTAACTGGCAGCTTGTATTCATTGGCTCTAAATTGCATCTCTGTATGCTGTCAACATATCTTGGGCTCTTTGCCTCTCTTGTTGTCACAAAAGCACCACAAGTATGTGTTTGTAATTGTGCTGCACCTATAAAACCTGACTCTCAAACCAGAGTTGACAGCTCTTCCATCTGCTGTTGACCTCTGCTCGTTCACATAAATATCTCTGTGTTCCTCAAGAGCTGATGTAATGTGTCCAGTGAACGCAGGTTCGCCTGAGGCCTCAGCTTACACGGTTTGTGAACTGAAACACATGCATTTGCTGGGAGAACTATTTAGTATGACTTCCCATTTCACTTGTAAGTTGTGACTGAGTCACCAGTGATGGAGGATACTACTTGCTAAAATACTTCTGCTGCTGTTCAACAAGGTGCAGTGATTTCCAGAGCCACAGTTACCTCAGAGTCACTCAGATCAGCTGAAGGCACAGAGCAGGTCAGGAAGTAATCCAGAAGAGGTGAATTTTCTAGGAGGCAATTATCCTGGAAGCTTGGGATACTTCCTAGTAGCTGGAAAAGTGCTGCGTTTTGGGCTTAGTCTGAAAATAACGTTGATAACACACCTCTGTTTTACTTGTTACTGAATACTGCTTACCCTGATCAAGGGCTTTTCAGCCTCTCGTGCTCTGTGCCACTGAGGAGGTGCACAGGAAGCCAGGAGGGAACACAGCCAGGACAGCTGACCTGAACTAGTCAAAGAGATATCCCATACCATAGATCATCATCAGTATAGAAAGTGGGGAGATGAGCAGTTCTGTAGTGCTTAGTTGCTGGCTGGGGTTAAACCATGACAGCAATGTCAAGTGGCATGGCCCTTCTGGCAGGAGAGAGGTGACAATATGTAGTTAGCTATGGATAGAGGAAGGTTTTATATTGCGGAGTGCGTGCATGTCAAATTTAGTGTAAAGATGATCTCAGTGAGTTGCCTTTTTAAGAGAGAATGCATCCCAGCCTAGGAGTTGTCCTGCACATAGACAAGCCAGACTTTCACTCCTCAGAGCACCCAGTGGGCTGTGAGACAACCGTCTAACTTGGAATTACCCGAGTCCTAGTTTTGACTACTTACCTATTTGCAGACAAGCATCAAAAGAAATTCTGTCTCATTTTAACAAGTTTCTGATGGACTTTTGTGTTCTCTTGATAGCTGCCATTAACCTAGCAAAGCTGAAGCTTTTCCGACATTACTATGTGATGGTAAGTAAAACATCTGTACACCTGCATATAGAGCCCTTGGAAGCCATTCAAGCCTTTCGATGAATTACTTATTGGAAGCTGCTGTAGCTGGTGGATGTGGTGGAGATGGTCCTAGTTCTGTGGCAGTGCTGTGGGTTGGCATCTTGGTTACAATCCTCAAAGCAGCTTCCTGTCTTTTCCTGGTGGTTGCATCCTTCTATCTTTAAACTGGTTCCGGCTATTTGTAATGCTTACTGATTTCCTCTGGAGACAGCTTGAGCTGCCAGTTGAATTGATGGGCTTGAATAACGTACTGTAAACTTGCTAAAAATTAAACTTGGGACCAAATGGTGCCTTGAGATGCATGTGTGCAGTTTCTGATTAAGTCTGTGGGAGCCATGAGCATACCTCCCAAGAGAGCCTGAGCTGCTTAATGATTTCCAGCGGCCTCATTTCAGACTCTTGTAAGTAGGAAAAGTAATAAATTACAATCATGATTCTTCAAGTTCTACAAAATCGTAATACTTAAAGCATTTCCTGCTGTAACTTAAATATGTTAGCAACAGCTTGAGTCATTTGGATGTTCAACCAGCAGTAGAGCCCTCAGCCTACATCTTCCATGTTTATTGAGGAGTATAATAAGGCTAGTCTGAGTTAATGAGTTGCTTGGGAATTGCTTGAGCTATTTCTCTGGAAAAAGAGGTTCTATAAGGATGGTGCTATTGTTCTCATGCTTTCTCCTTTTCCTTCCCAGATTGTGTGTTACATTTACTTCACACGGATCATTGCAATTCTCATAAAGATTGCTGTTCCATTCCAGTGGAAATGGCTGTACCAGGTATTTGCCAGCAAAGAAAAACACATCCATTTCTTGATATTTTTCTTTTTCTTATTATTCTTTAAATATAACTGCACCAAAAAATATTTAACTATAAATAACTGCACCGTTGTTCCTCATGTTATAGTACACCGTCTCAAAGCACAGTGCTGCACCCTGTCTCCTCCTGATTTTTACTGCTGATGTGCCTAAGGTGGCAGGAATATATGTTTAGTTTTATGTTTGTCTAGCCAGACTGCTGGATTATACATGAGATGTCTGAAAGTAATTGTATTATTGATTTGTAGTCTTTCAACTTAAAATGTCTGAAGGAAGTTAATCAAGAACATACAAAGGGAGAAAAAAAACTAGTCAGGTTTGCCTTGTGTAATTGAGGCTCTGGAGAGGCAGTAAAATAGGCTTTTGCTCTTCCTTCTACAGGCTTTATTTGCCTTGTGACTTTTAAATACTTGGTTTCTTAACATATAATCCAAGTAACTGTGCAGGGAGTCTTTGGAATACATTAACTGTTGAAAATACCTAAACAACATGGGGATGATCCCCCTGCCCTTATTTAAAAGCCAGATCTTGCTGTAGTTATTTAAAAGCACTGGAGTGATGGCTAGAACTGTAACTGTATTTAAAGTGACAGGGGAAGCTGAAAGAACAAAGGACTTGACAGCCTTTACCCTGGGATTAATGATAACAGGACAGGAATTGCTTTGTTACTTCTGCTGTGGCACAGGCTTCTTGGCCCATTAAATCTTGAACCTCATGAATGAGGAGAAATGTGTCATGACCATGAAGGATTACAGGGCTGAACTTCAATCTTTGTGTTTTTACTTGCAGCTGCTGGATGAAATGGCCACCCTTGTGTTCTTTGTCCTCACCGGGTACAAGTTCCGTCCAGCATCAGACAACCCTTATCTACAGCTCTCTCAAGATGATGAGGATGACTTGGAGATGGAAGCTGTGTAAGACCCTTCCCTCCTCTGCCTTTTTTTTTTTTTTTTTTTTTTTACCTCTTCACTTTATTTGAGGAAAAATAATATTTAAAACCAGTTTACTTTAATCTCTCTAAATCCTTCTTTGAAAAAGATTAGGATCTGCCCACACGCTTAAAGACAAGGTGTCTATTTGCTGTGTGTTAAACTAATAAAGAGATTTGTGATATCCATAGGAGCCTCTGAGCTGGAGATTGCAGTAATGTGGAATAAGCTGGTAAAGCTTGTCATGAGGCAAAAAGATGCTCATGAAAATATCAAGTAAAAAAGCTTCTGTGTTTAATATATGTTGCTGAACACCACCAAGATTGTCATGAATGCTTCATGGTTTAAAAAACAAACCACCAATCCACCAACAAAAACTAACAGACTACAGAATATAAATGAGCCTGGTGTAAGTTCCCTTCTGCCTTGTTGTTCAGCCTTTGCAGAAACTTATCTTAAGTAACACTGAGCTGAGGAAATGGATTTTTACCAGTACTCTTCCCTGTTCTATTCTTTGCTGATAAACCATGAGCTAACACAAATGCTGCAGGACCTCAGTTAGTCTGGAGAAATGATAAAGTAGGGCTCTGCCGAAGTCCCTGTCATTTTCTTTGCAGTGGTTTTCTAAGGACTTGGAAAATGAGTGGCATTTCTGAATCTATAATCGAAACTGCCCTAAGAAATTCAGCATGCCAGAAGTGTTGAATACAGCTATAAATGTGACAGACTCTGTTGCCTTAATAGGAGCCAAGCTAACCTAATCTCTTTAGTAGTCACACATTTCATGCATAATTGCAACTCATGTACAGGCTTAGAAGCCTGTTCCTTAGAGTTTTCCCAGTCTGGCAAATCTCCTTTACTTGGGTGAAACAAATCAACATTCCAGTTTTTACTGCGGGGGGGGGGGGAAGAAAAGGCAGAATGTGTTTGCCCTCACAGTTAGCTCAGAAAGAAATGGATCTTATTGGGAAATAGCTACAAGGTGGTTTTGTGTCGTAGAATCCAGCCTGAAATGTCATGCAAGGAGTTTAATTTCTGAGAAATACCTCTAGTAACAAAGATCCTCTTTCCAAACACATAGCTGTTTGTGCTTGAGTCCATAAAATCTGTCATGGTTGCAAGTGAGATTCAGCCAGTGCATAGTGACTTTAGAATCACTATAGCTTAAAGGTGTTTAAAATGGTTTAGGTAAGAATCTTGTTTCAGTTTGGAAGCTGGTAAATAGACAGTGCCTTCCTGATGCAGATGTGTGAACTGGATGTGGCAGGATTTGGGATTATACAGAAATGAGCTTTATTGCTTTTTGCCTGTTAGAATGAATTTCCACTTTGCATTACATGCTTAGTGAATTTTTACTTGGGTTTTATTAGTATTAATAATATGGCACCTTTCACATTTAGTGATCTCAGTAAATTGAAGAAGCTGCTAAATTTAGGAAAACCTGCCAGAAATGAGCTGGAGAAAGTTTATAATAAACTAATGGAGTGATTTACATCTCACCATAGTGAAACAGAGATAGGAACTCAAGGATCAGAATTTCCTGTAAGCCTTTTCCTAGTAAGGCATTTTGCCCCTTGCCTCGGGAGCCTCCATTGTTGTGCCTTGTGGGTTGTTCCCCTCAGCTTTGCTTGAATTCTTCTCATCTGATTCACAAGAAGTTTTACTCTTTTGGGCACTTGACAGGGTGCAATCTGTGTCCTGTTCTCCCTTCCCCAGCTGCAGCAGGGAGGTTCAGTTTGCACGTACTTGAGACACATGGTGTATACACATTGTGACAGGTGAAGCACTGGAAGGAAAGTATATAAAAGTTCTTGTTGATTTGGTCTTGCTGGTCCTATTTTTGCTTTTATAAATATTAAATGTTGTTTCTGTAGGGGAAAAATACCAAGGTTTATTTGAGCAAGTGACTAAGTGCCTGACAACATCCTGACTAACCAGTGCATGAGTGTGTTTTGTCTTTAATGTGATAAATACCTACTTGTCTTCAGAGGCTATGGCAGAAGTTAAAAGCCTTCAAACTTCATGGTGTCCTGCCATGTCTTATTGCCACTTTTTATGGTTATTTTCCTCTGCGAGAGGATTTTTGCTAAAATCAGGCTATTTAAAGTATTTTCTGCAGAAGCATTCAGCTTCTTTAGACTCAATATTTCTATGGGCTACAAGGGGAGAGCTGTATTTTCCAGCTTTGCTTGTTTTCCAGCAAAAAAAATAGGACATCTTAAGTGTAACTGTCTAGCTTATGCCTGTTTTCATGCAGTGCAAACTAGACAAAGCTCCGTCTGGCAGTAAATGTAAATGTTGTTAAGGACAGTGTGGAAATCTGCAGAGTTCCAAGAAAAACACAAAGACTAGGTGGCTGTGACAGGAGCTACATAAGGCACAAACCTTTCCTCTGTAAGCCCTTGTAACTCTCAAAAGTAAAATACAAATCAAGGACAGCAAAGGTGACTTGTAGTAAGTCTTTTCAACTAACCTGCCTCTACCTTGGGAGAAAGCATCCCCAAATGGTATAGGACTTTCTTCAGTTACACCAGGCTCAACAGAAGTTCTCCTGATGGAGAGAAGAGTATAACTTAAATGTGAACTAAGGACCAGTCTGTTCATTTTCAAGTAGGGTCAATAGCAATTCATCATCAACAAAGTGGCTTCTGTGCATTCTCTGCTGGGCAGCCTCTTGAGCCTGTTCTGTCAGTATGTAGGCTTGTCACTGACAGCTGGTTAGATTAAAGCACTCTGTTTGAAAAGGTGCAGCCACACTTGGCAGAAGGAGTTGTCAGGCTTCCAGTCCTCATGCCATTGCTGAGGCATGAACACAAAAATATAAATGGTACAGTAGATGAGGTGGGGGTGAGGAAGGGGAAAAGAAGCAGGGTTTGGTTTGGGCTTTTTTAATCTTGTAGTAAGTTATTTCATCAGCTCAGTAAGTTTGCTTTAAATGTTAGGTACCAAAGTGCTCTTCTAAAGTCTTGGTTGAAAACGATGTTCGTACATGCGTGTGGGGTGAAGGTATTTCCACTGGAGGAGGAATGGGAGGAAAAGCCATTAATGGTTTTGTTCTCAATTTGGTAAATCCATCTTACTGGGTGCGTGGAAACTAACTTTGTTTTTCCTTACCACCCAAAACAGCTTCAACATAGTGGACTGTTGTGGTAACACTGACCTACCTTTGCTTATGCTTTGGGATCTGGAGTTTCTCACTGAATCATGAGGCAACCTATTCTGTGCTGAGACTTGAAGTCCTGCTTGCTTGCTTCTCTCTGCTTTCTCTCTGGTTGTGCTGCATGGCAGAATCATTCATTAGAACTGATTTTCTTCACCTGACACATCTTTCCCATACAGAGGTCAGCTTTTTTTGTCCAGTGGCTGATCAGTTTTCACTCCAGTTTGCAATAGCTTGTAAAGGCTGGCTGCTGCCAGCATTGCAGGGTTTCTTGTTGGCCTATAAAACTAAACAAACACAAACCCCAGAAGAAAAGACAGCTGAGATCGACCACAGCGGAGGGCTGAAGATGCTCCTGAATGTTTAGCCATTGCTTGATACCTTGTGTACAACACAAGGGGGAAGAATAAAACACCCTGGTATCTCCACAGCACATACCACTGTGCAATGTTCAGGGAGCTCCTTTTGTAACTCATTTGTGATGGGTATCCCTCTGACAGCCACAAAAATTCTCTCCAGAGAGAGATGGTTTAGTGAAGAGGATTTGTAGCATTTTAACTACTGCTAGTCTGTGGGGCTAGAAACGCAATTCAGCAAGCTGCAGGTGAGGAACACTTACTTACAGTATTGAGGTCAGAACTGAAACCCTTAGGCTGCTCAGAGGGCTAGAATGAGAACTGCAGTGTGCTTGGTCTTAGTGCTGATACCCTTATTTTACTAAGCATTAAAACATGTTGGCTGAACTGATTTTGAGACAGAGAGGACTTGCCCATTGTACACAATCTGAGACAATGAGGATTCAAAAGCTACGCAATGCACTTGTCATGAGACAAGAACAGTGCTATTCAGATGGTCTTTAAGTTGCCATATTGAGGAATCCACCCCAAAATCTCTCCCAGTTCTTTGCTGTCATTGCTGGGGAGGGGACACAGTAAATGGCTTCTGGTACAAATGATATGACTCGACCTGGCAGCAATTTCAGTGTGTAGCTGTTTGTCCTGTCCCACCTTGAATGGGGGAAGTGGATCATTCCCTCTTAGCCATATCCTCTCATCACTTCTGTTGTCATCTGGGTGTGCACTGGGTTTGTAACTGTATTAGAGTGCAGTGCTAAAATCCAGGCTGCATGCCAGGTGGGATCTTACTAGCTGTGAGTCAACTGATAGGACCACTTCGGTGTCATGTATGTGTAAAACACCTATTTATATATCCCAGTATGTCTGCTGTTGCATTGCTATGTTAGATGCTCATTTTTGGTTTGTAGTCCATTGTAATCTTCAGCTCCTTCCTGAAGAAGAGACATTTAGCTCCTTACTCTGTAATTACAAAGTTGATTATTTCTAAAGAGTAAACTTCATAGCCATCTTGCTGCATTGTCCCATATTTTTCAGGCCATTACTTCAATTTGCCAGAATCTGTCTGCATTCTAGTCCTCTTCTCAAATATGTAGCTCTTAGTGTCTTCTGCAGATTTAATAAGCAAGTTCTCTATTCCATTACCCAGGCAATTACTGAAAATATCAAATAGAAGTGAACCTAGGACAGACCTTTCTGGAACCACGCTCTGTGTTCTTTGGTTTTGACAGGAAACCATTAAGTACTTCTCAATACACACTTTTCCAATTAGTTGTGCAGCTACTTTGGTTTTGTCTAGCTCACATTTCCCCAAATTTTTTCCTATGTGACTGTGGGAGGAAAACCTTTGTCAACAAGGAGAACTTAGGAGATCTAAATGTTCTCTGTGCTGATAAGCTTGATATGATCTCTTCCAGGCAAGTGTTTATTAATCCCATCTTTCTCCTTCAGGCAACCTGCTTGGTTTTCTCCCTTCTTTTTGTTTTTTATTTCAGTAGGGAATAAAGTTGCTATTTGATCTGTGCTCTTCTGACCCTTTCATAGAATTATAGAATGGTTTGTTTTGGAAGGGACCTTAAAGCTCATCCAGTTCCAACCCCTGCCATGGGCAGGGACACCTTCCACTAGAGCAGGTTACTCCAAGCCCCTGTGTCCAACCTGGCCTTGAACACTGCCAGGGATGGGGCAGCCACAGCTTCTCTGGGCACCCTGTGCCAGCGCCTCAGCACCCTCAGAGTAATGACTTTCTTCCTTAAT